ATTAAAACTACCAAGAAAATTCACCACAATTGAATCTCTTGCAATCGAATCTAAGTTTGGCAGTCATGATGTGGTTGTGCTGTTAATATACAGACCTCCAAAGGCGTCTGGCCAAGACTACTACCTTCGACTGGAAAAAGAACTTCACGATATTGTTACATGGGCGTCCCTTCAGAAGCAGTTTATTGCCATTACTGGCGATCTGAACCTGGATCGACTAAGACCAAACACTAGGGAAGGAAAGATTCTGTGTGATTTGGAAGATGTATTGGGACTCACCTCATTAATAAATCAGCCAACCAGAATTACCGAGAACAGTCAGACACTGCTCGATGTCATCCTTACTAACAAACCTCATCTCATCAAGGAGAGTGGAATTTATAACCCTGGAATCAGTGATCATTCACTGGTATATAGTCTTATGACTGAAGCCGCTATTCGTCATCCTAGTAAAACCATCTCCTTCAGGTCTTTCAAGAACATCAATGTGGACGATTTTCATCAGGACTTGCAAGCTGCACCATGGCATGTCGGGGAGATATTTGAGTCAGTAGATGACCAGTATTCGTACTGGAACTCCCTGTTTAATAACATCTTACAAGATCATGCACCCCTTAAAAGGATGAAAGTCARAGCCAAGGACGTGCCCTACATGACTACAGAATGGAAACGTGCTATAAGAAAAAAACGCAGATACGCGAAAGAAYTTGCAAGGAATCCCACGAACGAAAATTATAGAGAGARAAATAAATGGAGAAACATAGCCACCAAGCTTCGACGCAAGGCGATAAAGGAATACTGGAAAGTAAAGACGGAAGACTTCAATAAGAATCCCAGAGAGTTCTACAAAGTATTTAGGCCGTTTATYGATAGTAAGAGCCAAGGAACTGATAACGGTGTGATTAACTTGGAAGTCGATGAAAACATCATGAAAGATCAAACCCAAGTAGCTAATCATTTCGCAGACTATTTTGCTACAGTGGCCAATGAAATTGGTGATAGACAAACGCTCTCGCTCGCACAAGAACAACTAAAAGATCACGTCAGCGTGCAGACTATAAAAGACAACAAAAGAGTAGTCAATGGCCCGGCATTCGAGTTCAGCGAAATCAACGAAGCTGAGGTTACCAAAGCACTCAATGCATTGAATCCTAAGAAAAGTATGGGACATGACTTAATACCCCCCCAGGTTCTTAAGATGGCAAGTGATGTACTAGCACCTTCACTAACCAGCATATTCAATGCATGCATCAAGTCCAAGGGCTGGCCCTTAGAATGGAAGAAAGGTATTTGGGTACCTGTCTTCAAGAAAGATGATCACTTAGATGTCAAGAACTATAGACCAATAACATTGTTGAGTGCCATAGACAAAGTCTTTGAGCAGCTTATAAGCAATCAAGTATCAAACTTTATGGAGCCTCGTCTCTGTAAGACCATGACTGCCTACCGAAAAGGTCACAGCTGCGAAACAACGCTAATTTCCCTGGTAGAAGATTGGAAGAAAGCTGTGGATGATAAGGGCACTGTAGGGGTGCTTTCAACCGATATGTCTAAAGCTTTTGATTCCCTACACCATCCCTTATTATTGAGTAAACTGGAAGCTTATGGATTCTCTGCTGATGCTACTTCTTTACTGCGATCTTACTTCCTTGAAAGACAATGCAAAGTGTGTATCACTACATCCTCA